CAGGTTTTCTCTGAGTACTTCGGTTTCCCCTGCCAATCATCATTCCACCAAATTCTCCATCATTATAATCACCTGGGGCAGGCTACGATAGGCCAATCAGTGGCTGCCAAACCGAGTGGACCCAGTTGGACTCCACCCCCCACTAAGCGAATTAAAAAAAAACCTAAGAAGAGAAAACTGTTCCCTGTGACTTGTTTTTGCCTCCTCTCTTTTATATTACTTCATTCAACCTCACTCTATTCTAGAACCAATTTACTCTGTGCAGGGCTTCATTGAGTACAGATACACTCTTCCAACATAAAAAATAAAACAACGCTTTTTTGTGTCACAGTGTCACAGACTGCATATTTTCTGCTGTGAGAACCTGGTAGAAAATATATGGCTGGTTGCCCCTGAATGTTATGTGAGATAGTGTAAATTATTATTATTGGTTGTTATAGATTTTAAACCTGATGTGATCTGAGCGCTGTAAGTTAACAGGGTACAGTCAAATGACAATAATAATTTAAAAGAATAAGTGCAGCATCTTCTATGAGTATGCAGAATGAAAATTAATGACAATGAATGTCAGCATTACTGATTTGAGGTGTGGGATTGTTGATGTTCTAAAAGACAACCACGTAAATTTGTAACAAATGTATATATTAAATTGTATAAATTGAATGTACGGAATAGCTGGAAAGCTATGTGGAATGTCGAAAGTTGGCTGGCCCTGGAAAGGGCAGTTTGTTCCATCATGAGTGCGCTGGTAGAATTTGCTCCTTTATAGTAGACCAAGTCGTTACGGCTGTTCAGCTGGTTTGTCCGGCCGGTAATGTGGTGCTGCATGTGCCTGTAGGAACAGATGCCTATGGCGTGGTTGTTGGAGAGTTGCGGCAACTACATTAGTTGTCTGGTCACAGAGAGAGGTTGCTGGAGAGTTTCAGCAACTACATTAGCTGCCTGGTCACAGAGAGAGGTTGCTGGAGAGTTTCAGCAACTACATTAGCTGCCTGGTCACAGAGAATGGTTGCTGGAGAGTTACAGCAGCTACGTTAACTGTGTAGTAGCAGAGCGCGGTTGCTGGAGAGTTGTGGCAGCTACGTTAGCTGTCTGGTAGCAGAGCGCAGTTGCTGGAGAACTGCAGCAGCTGTCTTTGGTGCACTGAAGAGCTGATGACTCTGATGACTGATTGCTCTGAACTGAATGTGATCACTGATGATTGTGAGCTCTGGGCTCCACTTTTATACCATGCTTGCATGGCGGGGCTTAAACTTGCAGTTGTGATTGGGAGCATTGATTGGCTAGCTCACGTGATCTACAGGTGGGCTGGACATCGAGTGCTGTATAAATACGAGCGGTGGCAGCAACGTATGGCAATGTGATATTGACTAGGAGTGAGTGCTATCTGTTAGACCAGCGAAACCATGTGTTAATATGTGGGATGTTCCCACAGAGGCTTTCACAGTGGTTCAGTGTTGATGTTGATTCTGTTTCTGGATATTCACACCATGTGGACATGGGCTGTGTTACCAGCATTTCAGAGGAAGATGCTGCCACTGTGTTCAGGGTCTGAGTGATTACAGCGAGTGAGTGTTTATGTTATATAGTTTGGTGGCCCATCAATATTCATGTAATTAACGAATTTTTCTTATATTTATTTTCAAGAATTAAAATATATAGACATGGCATATAGCCCACTGCTAAGCAGTGACTATGTAAACAGTGACCGTTACTAGGTAATACAAACAACATACATGGACGCAACAATAAAACAATGGGGTTATAAAATCCATTTCTAAGCAATGGATGGTAAACACAGTCCCATGAAGATGAACACACACACAACAATAGAAGAACAGCGTTTTTGATGGGTCCCATGTCAAAGAGTTATCTTGAAGACAATTAATTTAACCAGTTCAGTTATCAGTTGTCACTTCTCAGTTTAGGGTTTGCAGTTTAGTGGAGATCTGTATGCGAGGCTGTGAAGAAAAGGGTTAATTGCACTGTAAAAAGAAGGCTTTATGTGTGATATTTGGAGTGTGTAATTCAGTGAGGCTGTTGTAGTTGCTGTGTTAAATTCATTGCCAGTAAACAGTTAGTGGAAACTATAATAGACTGAGGACACTAGTCTGCATGTTTCAGTGATATTTAAAGAGTAATTATGAGTCGTGTATTAACATGGTCAATAAATCTATTCATCAATCCATATCCCCTCTATAGTCACAACCATAAAAAGTGACAATACAATTCAGCTAATATAATATCAATAATAATGCATTTTGTTGTAATACTAATCAAAATGAGTTGTTGAATAATATACAGAAAGTCAGATTACATATTTTTAATAATATACGATGGGGTACCCAAAAGAAACCGAACTAATTTTTTTTGTGGGCAGAGCTTTTGTAGTACCGCGTTTTGCCGCTATGAGCGCATAGAGCTAACATTCCTGAGTTGATAAGCTGACTACCGTTGCTTCAGAAAGTAAGGACTAGTTTTGGCAGAGTTTATAGTGACAACTGTTTTGTGTGATCGTCGTTTTTGCAATGGCTGATTTTCGTGAACAGCGTGCGGGGGTGAAATTCTGCTTTTTGCTTGGGAACAGTGTAACAGAAACTCTTGAAATGTTAAAAACGGCGTACAAGGACGATGCTATTGGGAAAAATCAAGTGTTTGAGTGGTTTTCCCGTTTCAAAAATGGTGAAATGTCAATTGATGACAAACCTCGTTCTGGTCGTCCTTCCACGGCCCGAACACATGAAAATGTTGAAAAAATTCGTGAAATCATCAAGGAAGATCGACGACGGACCATTGAAGAAATTGTGGAGCTGTCGGGAGTGACTTGGAGCTCAGTTCAGCGAATTTTGACAGAAGATTTGCGAATGAAAAGGGTGGCTGCAAAATTTGTGCCACGACTGCTGACTCCTGAACGAAAACAAGGTCGCGTGAAGCATGCTGTGCTTTGAAAGAAGAGTCCCGAAATGACCAAAACTTTTTTTTGTTTCCTCGAATGAAAAGAGACATGAAAGGAAAGCGTTTTGCTGATGTTGCTGAGGTGAAGGAAAAAAACGATGGAGGCGCTGTCAAGCATCTCAAAAGATGAATTTAGACAATGTTTTGAAAAATGGAATAAAAGACTATACAAGTGTATTAGTGTAAGTGGAGAGTACTTTGAAGGGGATTGAAGGTTTGTGCTTAAAATTTGAATAAATAAGTTAAAAAAAAAAAGTTTGATTTATTTTGGTTACCCCCTCATAATATCAGAATTGTTTACAGCAATAAATACACAATTCTGATGGCACAGTGTAATCTTGAATTAACATACAGGATAAGGTTTTTCTATATACTATGGCAGATGTAAATACGACATGATAAGGTTACGTCAACAGCAATAATATCTCAGAATATCATCTGAGTTTGGTCCTTACTCAGGTAGCAAAGCGAGTCATTGAATTCACCTACTAATTGATGTCATTTTGTTGGTATTGCGAATATATCTAAAACAACACAGAATAATTGTTCCTTAAAGCCAACAGAAAATGAGAAATGAACAGTAGAACAAGTTACAGAAATATAAAGTATTTGATACTCACCTTTAAGCTTCAGCATCATCTCCTGTAGACATCATATCAACTGTATTGCTTTTACAAGCATCATAGTTTTTACTTCAGATGTGTAAATTTTCAGCATTTCTTGAAACACTCACAAGTATGTCTTCTGAAGAGACTTTCCATCTCAACTCGAATCAGCACAAACATTCTTTATCCTCTCAGGTGTAATGTTGCAGTTGGCATTTGACACTATAGAATGCGTCTCCATCATTAAGAAAAACCTTTTGCATGCATGGAAGATGTATTTGAAGGCACATAGTAGTACAGTTAGCTGAGACATGCTACAAGCTTGGAGGTTGTGGGTTTAATTCCCAATGAGGGCACTGGAGCTTTCAATTGACCTAATTCTTCCAGCTGCATTATGGCCCTAGGGTCAATTCAGCCTCTAACAAAAATGAGTACCAGGAATCTTCCTGGTGGTAAAAGGTGGCAGGCACATAATTTTTACCTCACCACCATCTGAGAGCGAGGTCATTGGATTTTTTCAATTGACCTAGTCCTTCCAGCCACACTCTGGCCCTAGGGTTGACTCAGCCTCTAACAGAAATGAGTACCAGGAATATTCTTGGAATATTCTTGGGGGTAAAGGGCGGCCAGCGTGTAGGACTGACAACCTTACTGCCATCTATGAGCCGATTGTCTAGAAAATGTGGGAACGTCAACATCTCACAACTCTATGTGCCTCCATGGCCTGTTACAGGGATACCTTTATTTTTTTTAACCATCTGAGAGCCGGCTGTCTAGAAAAATTTGGGAACCTTGATGTTTCACAACCTCATGGGCCTCCATGACCTGTTACAGGGATAGATTTACATTTTTATGGAAGATGTGTTCAGTTGTCATGCTTAACTAATTGTGTGGAGCAGACTTCTTCTTAAGAAGCTAACAGTTGTTCAGCTAGTCAAGAAATTTCCCAGCTTTATGGAACACCAAAATTTATGACTATATTCACAGGACCTATCAACTGGTACTATTTCTGAGCCAGAATAATCCAATCCATACCCTCAAAACCTGCTTCTCTATGATCCATTTAGTATTATCTATCCTTTGTGCCTGTTTCTCCCAAGTGGTCTCTTCCATTCAGATTCTCTAACTCAAGTTTTATGTGCATTTCTCATGTCTTCATGATTTTATCGCCCCATCATTTCATAAAGAGTACTAAATACAAAGCTCCTATTTTGCAAGTTTCTGTAACTCCCAGCTATGTCATCTCCCTTAGTCCCACATACACTCCTCAGCCTATTGCTCCTCAACACCCTGAATCTACAGAGACTGAGTTTCACACCCATGCAAACAACAGGTAATCTATACATCTTTAGATCTGAGGCAACACTGAGTAACAGTTGTTCCAAAAAAATAATCTTCTCTTAATTTTTTGTGAAAATATTCTGGAAATTCTAAACTTACCAGGCACGGTTTCCCCATTGAATTTCATTTCCACTAGATGGCTGAGAACTTCATGTGGAACAAAGGAGGCAAGGAACCTCTGGTTGCCAAGGTTACGTACAAAACTTGTCACATGACCACCATTGACCAGAATCTCTAAATTTCCTGAGCCCGCACCAGAACCATCAACTGTCAAAACAGACAAACAAAGATCAAAACTGAAACAGATAGACGATACTAATGTGACAACATAAAAGTAGAACTCTGCTCTCATAAACCGAATGCTTCTCAGAAAGGAAGACTAGTAAAAAAGAATGCATACTTACTTTCAAATTCTACAGGCTGTCCCAGTACACCATTGGGGATACGTCCAACTTGGATTGCTCTTGCATTGTAAGCATGAGTCCTGAAATATTAACATAACTTTTAAACTCTATAGTCTACAATGTAAGCTCTGAAGTAAGTAAGAATGAATCTGGAAGTTCAGAAAATATATCTTTGTAAAAAAAAAATGCAAGTAGTTATACATATATAAGTATATATGCATTGATATCAGAAACTTAAGTTTGGGAGATGATGAACCTACTCTTGTGTATTCACACTTTATGGAAGCAAGCTATGTTGCCAACATTTCAGTGGGATATTCTGACTCCATGATTTGGGTCAAAATGAGTAGGGCATGTGAGTGTGCATGTTATATAGGTTAGCAGTCCAACAGACCCAGAATGGAAAGGGGGCAATTGCTCAGTCTACACAATAGCGAATAATGAACAGGAAATTGTGACCAAAGATGGAACCCTATAAGGGCTACCAGATGCAGCAGTAACCATCACCATATGATACACCCTACTGGCTCCTCAGTCAAGTGCCCATCACACATAACATTGCTTAACTTATCTACTGTAGGTAAAGTGACATGTGAAGTGGTGGATGTGTTTCTTGTTGCTCAGTGATATATTTTAATGGGAAATGGAAAGGAATGAAAGTGGGGAATGCTGCATCACAGAAGGGTGATAGGTCTCAAGAGATTGAGTACTGGAGGATATTCCCTTAGGAATTTGTTGCAGCCGTTTATGGCTCTAGTATGGGGTTTGTGGATCATGCGCAACTGTAGCATGATCTCTGCTGCTTAAGTGTGTGGATGATCTTGCAGGCAGGGTGTAACTAGCAGTGTGAGAAACACAAAATATGCCAGAGCAGCATCAACATCAACTATGAACCACTCTGAAAGCTTAAGGTCAGTGAAAGTCTGGAAGAATAAATTGCTCTCTGCAGAAATGGTTCAAAATTGGATAACAAGTGTTGCCTCCCTGGCCCATATTTCTAGCACTCCAACCTTTGAATTAATTTCAGCTAATTAGCTTCAGATTCCTTTTCTCTTGTGTAATTAAAAGGATAGAATTATCTGCCAAAGTACTGCACGGTGAATATGCATGAGGAAGTGAAGATAAAAGTTCAGAGCATTCTTAATTTTGATTTTAGCTGGAGGTGAATGGTCAGCTCAACACTTCAATTATTTTTTCTCTATGAAAGGAGACTCTGGTACCCATGGGATATGAGACTGGGTAGGATACTGATCTGGTATGGGTGGGTTGATGAAGACACAAATTTGTACCTTTGCCAAAAATTAAATCCTGATCATTCAGTTACTAGCCATTCACTATATTGACTAAGTTTTTCTGGTTAATTTTGCCTAGTTAAACATTTGCCTACCCATAGTCGGCAAGAAAAAAATGTCTAATATAAGAATATTGGATTATTTGCCTAGAATACCTTCAGGAAAGTTGAATATAAACAGCAAATAGCCAGTCATGGAATTTACACTAGTCCTCACATGCAGAATAATATTATAGATAATACCTGATGTTTCCTGTGTCTTTACATGTCTTGTTTGTGGGTTTTAGTTTTCTGTTGGCAAAGAATTATTTTCTTTTGCATAAAGAGGTTCCTTTATGAAATTTGTATGGAGTACGAGACAGTTTTCTCACCTGAAAGGTGCTCCGATAACCTTCTGATCTCTAACTTTAATGTCAATTATATGTTCACCAATCTCGGTGGCTGTGAAGTTAGCTGAAATATGATCTCTGTTCCGGTAGAGTTTCACAGGCAAATTTCGATGGGATGGAGCTGAAAATACAGAATCCAATTACTGGTTCATGAAGAAGATATTGTGAAAAGTTCGGTTTCAACTGCTTTTTAATTACAAATTGTGTAGTGGTTTGATTTCAAATTTCTGTGATAGAAGGGAAGAGAACACTTGTGAGACCTACATGCAGATGAGAGATAAATATACAGATGGATGTTAAAGAAGCAGGGTGAGGGGATATGAACTGGAAAAATCTGGATAAGGATGTGGTCAAGTTAAAGGATCTTACAAACAGTCCTTCAAATTACATCTTTCTCAGGGATTCTGTTGTCATTGTTTCATTGCTTGACAAATATTAATATTTGTATCTTTTAAAACTATATTCACTCTCTCCTTGCCATGTTGTTGATATTCATAAATTCAAATGGAAACTGCTGGTAAAATTACCTCAGTGATTCATGTGTCTATTCCTGTACAATCTGTAAATTCTCTCTAGAATCTTAGTTTCTGTATTGCTGTATGGAATCAATGAAAGTACATTAATAATGATGAACTGATATTTTTTCATTACTCTTCTCATTATACACACCTGTCACGGTGACTGTAACCTCACTTAGGTCAGCACTGTTTGGCAGCTCAATGTCGATGGAGACCTGGCGATTAACAGGTACTAGCTTAAGTGCATCTCCTGTTACTGTTGCAGGCACTGATCCTGCTCCAGTTCCATTCTCTGTTGGTGAGTTTCTTGACCCTAATTGAGAATCAATTTCAAATTAAGATAGTAAAATAGGAAGATCTGGGCATTCTGTTTTATTTACCTTGCACTTTTATGTTAATCGACAAGATATTTCAGAACTATCCTCTGTGTAAAGGTCCAGATAGAGTTACAATTAAAATTCTTCATTCACAAATATTCAGTCATAAACCTATAGGTTTATGATCTTGGTAGTCTCTTTGACAAAGATATTAAGATATTACATTTTTGGAAAACATCAATGTATGTTATGTAGAAGCAATAATTTCCAGTGCAACAGTTGCTAACTCTCTGGAAATTGTGTTCGAAAACAAGTTTTACCCTTTAGATAGACTTTGAGTTTTGTAACCCAACTTTCACCTAAGAGGCAGGGAACAATAACCCACAGTCAACAAGTTTCCTGTAATAAGAAATTAGTAAATAGTAAATACTAGTCTGTAACATATGGAATTCCTGTGTTTTTGGACTTTATCTGTCATCTGGTATTCTAATCACACTAGAAAACACAACATTTCAGATACTGGGTCTGCTTCTGTATTGTGGTAAGGGGGGGGGGACATCTACTCTGTTGGGTCAATTAGAAAGATCTAACCTCAGTCACTGGACCAGTTAAGGTTCTAGTGAATGTGGTAATGAACCTTCAGGTTTCATTAAAAGCAGGAAATTTTGTCACTAGCTGAATGACTATGCTTTTTTAAGTAAGATTCTAAGCCATGGAGTTAGCTCGCACAAGACAACTTTATATTTCCGTTGTGGCTCCACGTATGTTCTGATAAGAGATTGACACTGCGGCACAACCTGTTTCTGAAATCATTCTCAAAACAAAAGATTATAAATTCCAAATTCCAAACATTGGTATTGAATCAGGAGTGAGTGGTCAAGGGTTACCTGGGACTGAGGGCACTGGGTGTATACGGGAAGTGCAGTCAGATCATTCAACTGACACCAGGCTGAGGGAGCCACATCAGCATATCTGGCTAGAACATACAGAGAAGTCAGCCATGGTGGAGCATGACATCAGCTTGGGACACCACATCCAACTCCATAACACCAGCATCCTCTCAAACAAACCCAGGTATACAGATTATATCATCAGGGAGGTGACTGAGATTGAACTACATCACAATATTATGAACGAGGAGGACTGCTTCTGCCTAAGCAAGTCATGGAAAACTTTCATCTGCTTCCTGAAAGGTCACTGGAAGCCTCCCTCACAAGATAGGTTCTCCATTTGGTCATGCGTGTCTGTGCACACTGCCCTTAATAGGGCACCAACCCTAGCCTCTTTGGGTACACATCAACCCTGAAGCTTTCCTTCCTCTTCTAACCTCCTTTCACTTTTATCATTATTTTTATCCCCCACTGCATGCCTACAACACACATGACTTTTCTCTCAGCCTCCTCGATTCTCTTTCCACCACACAAATTTAAAACTTCTCTCCTCCTCTCTCATATCGGCATAATCAGCCATTTTCAGGGAGAGACCTACTCACTGTCCTTATTGCCTATTGGTTCATGCTGTTACCCATAGGAAGACAAAGGGTATTGATGGATTGGCTTGCAAGTTCCCTCTTTTCTTCTATATAATCTTATGTTTGTTCACAAGCAACTTGTCTTGCTTGCTGCCTGTTTCATGCTGGTTTCTTGCTTGCCATACTCTCCAACCCTGAAGATGGAAGTGATATATTCCTAGAAAGGTCAGTTGATTTCCACCGGACTACAAAGCGTTATATCCAAGATGATAGAATTCTTCAATTCCTATGATGTTTTGAAAAGTTTTAATAATCTTAATTCATATATGATCTTAAGCCACTGATGATGTCTTTAACTGCAAATGACACATGATACAGGTAATTCTGCCAGTGTAATCTCAAAGACATTCAAGGGTTATTTTGCCTTGAAGGTAATTGCAGATAATATATATATATATGTAAGTGGATGTACTTTCAGTGACAAGAAAGGTGACTAAAATTTGTAGGTACCTATAATGAGCAGACCTCCATTATTTCGTTGATTGATAACGTTGCTGTACTGGTGACTGCCACCTGGTGATGGGGAACTGCCTCTGAACCGGGAATGGACTGCATCAACCTCATCAACTGATGCAGCAGTTGTGCTGGTGCTGTTAATTTGATGCACTGTTGATTTGTGATGTGAGAATTCTGAAACCAAACAAAAATCAATTTGAACACTTCTATCTATTTCTCCCTGTGTTTCTCCTGTTTGCTGGTCTAGTTGTTAGGTAATCATAACAAGTTTAAAGTGAAAAATGATCTATGTCTACTGCTGTTTCATTTTTCAGAAACAATTGAATTCATAACTCAATCACTGAGCAATGTCACAGGAGTGAATAATAGAAACTTAGTCAGTAGGAATATACATGCATTTCATAATACATAAGCAGGTTTAGTGCAGTTTATTTTAAGATAAACCTGACAAAGAATGGACACTTTCATTACATTGTCAAATAAAACTATGCATTATGTTATGTAAGTTTGTGAACTGTCAAGAAACATGCTTTATCATTACAGAAACATTACACAGAGTGGAAAAGGTCAGATAAGCCCAGAATTGTGCTATAATTAATGACATGCTTATTGTTCATGAATGTGTCATCACATAAATGAGAGAGCAACCATTGTCTAGCATGTCATTGGTGTGTCTACATCTCCCTCAGTTTCTTCCCTCACCCCAAATGTTGCCCAGCTTCAGCCATTTTTTTTTTTTTGCACAGTGGTGAGTCAGTATTGTCACAAGCAGGGTGGATATGAGCTATTATTCAACTGAAGACAGAACAGTTGCTAGATTATGGGTTCGAAAAGCCTATGACAAATCAAAGTATGCAAGATATCAGAGTAATATTTAGAGAATTTTTTGAGAAAGAACCATGACCCAAAATGACACTGTATTAAAAATGTTACTTTTCCTGTGGCATTCCTATGTTATACTCACCATTTTTCCTGGCTTCTGATTTTGCTGTAAGGTTTGCCAAAGATTCTAAGCTCCCATAAGAGAGAAGTGACTTAGTTTTGGCAATTGCATCCCAGGAATCAGCTCTTAGATTGGATCCTCCTAGCACTGCAGAAACTATAAGAACATAAACAATCAGCTTTCTGTATGTACATGTAATAATAATAATAGTATAACCTATGATATTATTATAGATGGAATTTACTAGCTGCGAATAATGATTTATACTAAGCAAGAATTGAAGATTTTATGTCATATACAGTTTACTATCGCATTTCCTGGTGCATAATATGTGGTTTCTTTTCCCCAGAAATTACTATAAAAATTGCAGAATATCTTTCATATCTGTGCAGTTTACAGAAAAATATTTTTCCTTTTCAAACCATCATGTTTCTTATACATCAGGAAATATGGTACATGCAACAAATATGAAGTGAAACTATCATTTTATTTTAACATTTAAAAATCAAGGGTCGTCCTGAAGGAGAATTTTAATGCTGGTGAGATTTTCTGTGTTGCTAATGTAATGGGACACAAGCTTGATGAGGTGCTCTTCACTTTTGTCAGTTACCTTCAAGGATTAATTGTGAATTCTGCCATTACATCACAATATTTTAGTTACTTAAAATTCATAATTAATTATATGGCACAGGTCCCCTTGAAACATTGATAATTATCCAAGCAGTTAAGAACTTAGCAGCTTTTATGAAATCGAAAGGTTCATTATTACATAAACAAAAGCCCCACCCTTGGACCCTGTTGTGTGCTACTTAAATCCAGTTTTTGTTCTCACACATTATTTTTCTAACATCTCTGCACAGGGAGTACGTGAATTATATGCCATTTTACTGCATTAGTTCTCATGAAATAAAAGGCACAGGAATGAAAATTAAGTTTGCTCGAATAGGTTATATGATCGAGTTATTGCAATCTACATTTTACAGATGTTCAATGAGGGCACCATGAGTGGCCCAGCAGACATATTTGTATTCAATTCCAGTCCACACATTGTTAAGCAAGTCAAGAGTGGCATTTACACAGCATTCTTTATGTGCCCCCAAAGGAAAAGCAAGGGGAATATCAGGTGAATGAGATTGCCAAATGACAGGTCTGCAGTTGCAAATCCATTTCTCCAGAAATTTGTGATTAAGAAGTCATCACTTCCTTGTACAAATGTGAAGTAACTCTATCTTGTTGGAATCTCATGTTATTGGACCCTCTTCTTGCAGAATAGGCATGAGGAATTCTTCCAATATATCTGGTTACACTATGCCAGTTGCATTATATTCAGCAAAGAAAAAAAAGACCTGAAAATTTTTTGTTTGAACAATGCACAAAACACATTCAACTTTGGACTGTTTCTTGTACATTCAGTTCCTTCAGGAGGACTGTTGTTCCCCCAGATCCTCAAGTTGTGTCAATTAACATTTCCTGATAAATTGAAAGTGGTTTCATCACAGAAGACAAATTTGGAAGTTCATCATCTCCAAGTTCTCTTTGCATAATCACATTATTGCTAAATCAAATTCTAACTACCAAGACATCAATGTGAGTGAAAGTTAAAGAACTAAGAAGGTTATCTTCAAATACAGGAAAAACATTTCTTTTGAGGGCATGTATATAAACAAAGAATACACATGCATGTGTATGGGTGTGTGTGTGTGTGTGTATTTCTGTGTGGGAAAGTGGGTGGAGGGAGAGGGAGGGGTGAAGGAATAGAGGGAGGAAGAGATTTTACATGTGTATTTGTAGTACTTCAATAATTATCAGAATTTTTTTTAATCTGACCTTTAACATTTGAAGTTGTATCCACTGCACCTCCTTTTCCTTCATCCAGACCATCCACTGAACCTCTTCTCATTCCATGACTTTCGAAACGTCTGCTGGTGCTCTCAGAGTGATTCCCACCATTATGCTGAAATGTTGGACTGCCTACTGGGCTAGGTGAATGTTTAAAACCCAGTGGACTATGAGCAGGACTTGGTGAGGATTTATAAACATTTGAATTATTCAGCAAAGGACTGGAACTGGTTTTGAATCCTGTTGGGCTCTGGGATGGACTTGAAGGTGTTCTAAATGTTGGGCTGGCATTTGGTTTGTAAATTGGACTAAAACGACTGCCATGAATGGGACTGTCACGGTACAGTGGACTGTTAACAGGACTTGGAGAGCTATTGCTGATGATTGGACTGGGTCCACGGCCATTAGTGAGACCATAGGATGGGGAGCCAATTCGTTCTTCTGTAATGTGTGTGCGACTAAGTCGCTGGTCTATAGAAGAACGACTGTTATCTGTAACATACCAAATAGAAGCCTTAAGCAATATTCTTGTGACTGTAGATGTCAAAAATTCTTTGTAAGTATCAGCTAGAAAATGCCCAATTTTTGTGAAAATTTTTCTTAAAATAACTGCTTGAAATAGTGAAATTGATTATTTATTTTGACAGTTTTATGAATATACATATATGTGTATGTTTGTATACATGTTCATCAAAAAATTATCAAACTCTTAGGAATATACAGTTTATTGTTTTTTTAAGTGTACAAAACTCGTTATGGTCACCTTGTAACCAGACATAAATAGGGACTGCTGAATGAAAGGACATTACATATTATGAAATAAAATGCTGTAAATACACTCAGAAATATCTATGCAATAATGAAAAACTGCTACCATATGGAATTGTGGTTTTCTTAAATCATAAGGTAAAATATTCAGTTTAGAATCACAAAACATGAGAAAACGTTATGGAAATTCTGAAATTACATACATATCCTTAAACATTATGAATATGACAACTGCGAATTACTATATTTGTAGAACCTTACACCCAAAGTATTTTCTAAAGAATACCTACACATTGAGTAATTACTTTTTATTGTACAGTTTACAGAGCCATGCTCACTGTTAATCAGCAGATTGCTGCTATTTTTCCATGTACAGATATAGTACTCTTTACTGGTTTCATCCACACATATAATTTATATAAGATATAGAAATTATAAGTAGCTAACTTTAATATAATCCCCTGAATCATTCAGAAATCTCACACCTGCACACAGACATGAGCACACACAAACACACTCTACATTCCAAAAACTACATTTTCCATTCATGAGTACAATATACATCGCAATTCAAATCTGTAATTTTTCAAGATACTGTGTATAAGTAAACAAAATCAGAAAACAATTTCCTTATTAATTTAAAGAGGAACCATTGTGAGTTATGTGATTAAATTACTACAGTTAACCCAGGAATTCTGCAAGACTACAGTAACAGAATTCAGGAACATAAACTATGTTCACATCTAATTCCATGGAACTGAGTCCTTCTTAAGCAATTAATAATTGCTCACATATTCAAGCTATTCTCAGCATTTTATGGAACCCAGATGTACATTACTGTGTTCACACAAACCCATCATTTGTCCCTATCCTGTACCAAACAAATGCAGCCCAAATCCCCCACTCTGTTTCTATAAAATCCATTTAAATATTATCCTCCCAGCTGGGCCTAAGTCTTCTTAGTGGTCTCTTTCCTCCAGGCTCCAGTGTGTGTGTGTGGATATACAAATATAAACAGAATGTGTTGCTTAAAAGTATGGATAATGATTTATTAGATAGCTGTGATTAAATTACTTTTCCTATATATAGCTCTTACCATTGACTAATTTAGATCTGATGTATAAATTCAGAATTTGTGTCACAAAGTTAAAAGAAATTAAGGTCATAACTTTCACCAATTTGTTAACAATCATGTAACATGATCAACTGGACCCTAAATTAAGGAACTGTAAGTCTTACTAGGCCTCCATTTAACATATTTCAATTATATTTCTTGTGAAAATCTGTACTTAAGATTCCTTTAATTTTATTAATAATGATATGGAAGGCAAACTCATGAAAACAACAGATTTGTTAGTAGATTCTAAAGAGTTCTGACAGTGGTGGATGACACACAGAATTACTGTGTTTTTGGACTTCTTCCATTGTCTGGAATTCTAGGTAATAGAGGCCATGATGTTTTGGAAACTGGATCTGTTTCCGTCTTCCGGTGAGAAAGGAAACTCAGTTGGGTCCCTTAGAAAGCGCTAATCTAGGTCCAGTGATTGAGATTAGCATGAATAACCTTGAGGCATGAGTAAGTCTTTAAATTTTGAGATAAAGATATGGGGAAAGAAAATCTGTATGTCAAAACTCAACTTCATATCTGTATTTCCTATAGTTGATATCAGCAGAATTGGTTTCAAGAGAAAAGCCACAGGATAAGCTTCTTCAGACCACAAAAGAAATGAAGAAATTGTGATAGAATCACAATTTTCACAAATAAGAGAATGTATAGAACAGCACAGAAAAACCAGAAAGAACACATTGACAGGATAACCTCTGACAGAATTTAAAAAAATATTATATACACCAAATGGAAAAAGGAAGTGTGGGAAGACTTCTGAAACAACAGAAGGGTTCTCCTGTGTAACATCTACAACATGTTTCAATGGGCTTAATATGCACTCAAAAGGATGATCGTGTTTTTGATCACACCAATTTTCAGACACTAAATTTTGATTGTGACATTAAGTTTAGTGTCTAATTCAGAATCATGTGGCAAAATGAGACACTGTGGAACAATAATTTGTCATCTATTACGTCGATTGTTTATTTGGTATCCTGGCTTTCAGGTGAGCAGTAAAATTTCCTATTAATATTTTACATTTCAGTCACTGCATGGGATTTCCAACTCATAGTACTTCAAGAGTTCTGAGCCACATAAAAATTCTACTACCATTCATGACGATTTATTAATGACTGTGCAAGAATTATTCCTTTCCTCTTATTCACTACAATGTGTTAATAACGCTTTTCCCCAAATTGAGAGCAGTAAAATGGTAAGAATTTTGTCTGCCCTATAAAGATCATCAAGGACAAATTTACTTTACCTAGAATATTGCTTCATCAAAATATGTCTTTACTGAGATAATCACTTTAATCACTTTCTGTCTCATAAACATCTTTGTAGAATACTGAAAGTGATAGTTCTATCAGCTTCAGCTTACAGGACTTGAATATCATTTTTTTTGGAAGCACCATTATGAAAAGTAAATGAAGGAATATCCAGCTTTCAAATTCCATACATGGGTGGCTGAACTACAGGTCGGATGTCTGACAAGTAACAAATGGAACACATTTCAAAATAATATACTGAAAATACAAGACTTACACCAATAGAAGGGTCCTAAGTCATGGTGTGTTTCATTATTCTATCTCACTATGTTAAGTAAAAAGTTAAAGATGTCCCTCTGCTTAAATGCCATGCCATGAAGGGATGGGAAGAGGAGATAAAGATTCAGATATTTGATATTAGTACTAGATGGAAGTGAATGGGCAGATTCACAGTCTGACCACATCATGTTTGGAGAAAGAGGACCTGGTACCTATTAGACAGGAAGTGAGGTGGATACCAGGGCCAGCATAAGAATGGCGATAAAGAGAAAATTCCCTGACTGTACCAGGAATGTAACTGTAATCACCCAGCTCCTAGCTAATGACTTAACTAAGTTATCCTGAGAAACTTTAAATTTGAATTAATAATATTCTGTTATGGAGATTCTGTATTTCAGTTTAGGTTGTTCAGTTCAGATCTCCATTTAGGTACATGTCTATAGGACAGCCAATTAAAGTCTTGTTACTGGTGAACGTTTATATATAACAATGTACATAATTCAAGGCATACTCATATGAGGGGGGACCCAAAAATAACTGGAATTTATTTTTGTTATTTTTTATTTTTGCATTTTTATTGAACTGTATATTAGTCCCCTTCAAAGTATTGTCCATGTGCATTAATGCACTTGTCCCAATGCTTTTGCCACTGCTCAAAACAGTGCTGGAATTCTTGAGGCTGGATACTGTTCAAAGCCGTTAGCGTGTTTTCTTTGACTTCGTCCACATCACGGAATCGCATTCCTTTCAGACTTCTCTTCATCTGTGGAAACAAAAAAAAAGTTCTGGATCGTTCTGCACTTCACTCTTCAAGTCGCGGCAAACATTCACGCGGTTTTCTCTTTGGTCATCTCCGAGCAAGCGAGGAACAAATTTTGCAGACACCCGTCTCATGTGCAAACCTTCGGTTAAAATTCGCTGGACCGTGCTCCATGAGATGTTCGTTTCCTCAGAAAGTTGGTCAATGGTCTTTCGACGATCTTCATCAATTGCACGTTTGATTTTGGCAATGTTTTCGTCATTTCTTCCTGTCGAAGGACGCCCGGGGCATGGCATGTCTTCTGTTGACATGTTGCCAGATTTGAAACGGGAAAACCACTCGTAGACCTGTGATTTCCCCAAAGCATCATCATTAAAGGCTTGCCGAAGCATCCCAACAGTCTCGGCTGCAGTTTTCCCTAACAGAAAGCAAAATTTCACGCACACTCTTTGTTCCTTCTGGTCGGCCATCTCACTAATCGCCAAAGGGTTGAAACAGGAACGCACACAACAGAGCACCACAGACAAACCACTTAACTCAGACTGACGCCAGCTCACTAACAGTCGCGGGAGACCCCCAGCTAACACCACCTAGCAGCACAACTCGTAACTACAAAGCATGCGCGCGCAACAGGTCGGTTCCGGTTATTTTTGGGTCCCCCTTCGTATGTAGTCACTGCACCATGGCACAATCTTACTTGATTTGTTTTAAATCTCTCTCTCTCTCTCTCTACATATATATATATACACACACACACACACACACACACACACACACTTAGTGCTCAGTGACTTTGAAGCAACTATTTATTGGCACCACGTTAGAGTAGATGTAATTTAATTTGGCTTGGGAATTAAATATTATGTCTTTTAGCATACCTGACACTACATGAAGTGTTACCCCTGGCATTCTTCTCTTCCAATATGCATCTTCTGAAGCCACCTGATGACTTGAGTGAGGCCCAAAACTGGATGTGTACCGACTGCTAGCTACCAGGTTATAAAGCTTAATGTAGTTAATATATAGTGCTGCAGGCAATTAGTAAGATGTATAAGAATTTGCATATAGATGAAAAATTAGTAAGAATTTTAGTTCCCTAGAGATATGAAGGTTGCTATATCCATTTAATTACTACATTTTTCTCTATAATTACTATGGTTGTATCTCAGGAAGTAATTTCAAGCTACAATACGATGAAAGGCTCCATTAAGGTATTAGTAAAATTATATTTTGCTTCTTAAAACCATGAGTACAATTTTGCAATGTCTGATATTTTGTTTTAAAAATCCATGGCATGTTTTGTCCTTTTTAGGTCACCTTCAAGTTGTGTAATGTGGAAAATGTTAATTAATGAATTGTTTTGTTCAGTTTCCTAGCTTATTGAACATGAATCCAGTGTTCCTTATGTTTTACATTGTTCTTTCATGTTTTAAATTTTGTGTTTAGTATCATGCATTAACATAGAAGAATAATGTACCATTTCTGGAACACTGAATTCATGTTCAGTAAGCTAGGAAACAGAACAAAGCAATTGTGCCACGTGAAGGTTATACAGAAAGGACGAAACATGCAGTGGATTTTTGAAACAAAATATTAGACACTGCAAAGTTGTGTTGATAGTCTTAAAAGGTAACATAAAATGTTACTACTAATGGCTTAATATAATACACAACAGAATGCAAAAAATGAAAGAAACCTTCTGTGCTCACATACATACGATAATTGTTACAGTAATATAAATTTGTCAGTATTGTACCTAACTGGCTTCTTAGATCATTACCGAGCACAAAGTCTATTAAGGACTATGTGTGATATTTCAAATAAGGTATGAGGATCTCTTTCCCTGGAGGTAAAGGTAAATGGTATATGAAATTGAGCATTAAATTCCATATATTTGTAAGGTATGAGCATAAATCGGGTGTTGCCTCCATAGCCCTACGCATTGAACCATGTATGCTTAGACACAGAGGTAACTATGTCTTTAGCAAACCATCCTTAAAACACTTATGTCTGAAATACATGGTAAAGTCATGAGACATGGAGATTCTTTCTGAATTCTTATTGTAAAAATAAATGTTTGAGATATGAGTATATATACATCATAGTATGAAATGAATGCATGAATCTAAGCTGATAAAGGAAAGAAAAATAGCCAGTATATCAAACTGCTTTTCAATCTGTGATGCATTTTTGCTTGTATAAAGTTAAGATTATTTGTATATGGTTAAAGGTAAAAAAACAAGTAAACCTGTCCCTCTAACAGGCAATGAAGGCCCATAGGGTTGCAAGATGTCAAGTTTCCCACATTTTTTTAGCCAGCTGTCTTACAAATGGTGGTGGGGTTGTCAGCCTTACATGCCAGCCACCCTTTACTCCCAGGAAGATACCTGGTACTCTTTTATGTTAGAGGTTGAGACAACCCCAGGGCTATGGTGCAGCTGGAAGGATTAAGTCAATTGAAATATCCAGTGACCTCATCAGGAATGCAGATGTACACAGTGTTCACACAAGACACAAACACTGTTTTCATAAACCAATTGCTAACCTCTCATGCTTTCAGAAAAGCGCATATTATGCTGGGATCAACATTTTTAATAACCTGCCATCTGTTCTCAAAGGTCTTATGAATGAAAAGGCACAATTTAAAATAGCACTGAAACGATACTTAAATACACATTTATTCTACTCTGTTGATGAATACCTATTGTGTAGAAAATAACTTATGTATCTTTAAATAGCCTTGTGTGTAGTCACTGTGTATTCTTGGTTTCTCTTGTGTGAGAACTACATTGGGACTGTACATGTGTTTCGTATTTATATGACATATTTCACATCCTACAGTCATTTTGACTAACTTTGAATGCAATGCAATGCAATGTAATGTAATGTAATCGAACCCATGACCTTTGAGCTTGTAGCATAGTGCCTCAACCAACTACACTGTTGTATGAAATTAATCATACCACCCCTTATTAGCCATCTAAATGGCAAATACCTATTCAAGTTTCTTTAAATTCATTTTAAATGTCTCTGCTTTAGATAATTTATAAAGAAATGTTACTAAAACGCATACTTAAGGCATCTACTGGGATAGCCTTATTAACACTGTTAATGACATAGTTACCTCAGTCACCAAAAGTGCTCATTGTCCTTAATTGGACAGATTGTATGAATCTATCTCCAAAAAAAACGCATAGCTCTAGAATCATGTGCATGGACAGAGAACTCTTATGTACAATTGGTTGCAATTTAAATCCAGTATTGCTGGGAGTTTGAAAACACACTGTAAGACGTATGCTATAACTATTTATTGTTTCAAGTGTGAATTCTTTACCTTCAATGAGCTACTCAATTTACAGATTCAGAAAATATTAATCTCAAAAACATGAAGATAAATTTTATAAGGGCATCACCATTATCACACCAATATTAGAGTGATTAAGGGACTGAAATATGATGGAACCTTGCTAAATTTTTTAAGCAAATCACCATTATCACACCAATATAACAGGGATTAATGGACTGAAAAATAATGAACTCATGCTAAAAACATTGAATAGAAGTCATATATAATTTTCATTCTCCAATAACCAAGGAAACTTCTTTCCTATGTGGTCATTCCCTCTTTAAGCACTGTTACAACATGTTAAACATAAAGTTTGTATGGATTGTGAAGCCAGTGCCAACCAGTATTATTCTAATTTTGCCATACTTGGTGGAAATTAGTGTACCTTGATGAGTACTTCGATCTTGAGTCCAAGATTCCTGATTATGACTACTACTGCTTCGTCTGTTTGTTGGAGAATTTGATTTGTCCCTTGAATGCTGACTTCCAACACGGAGAGGAAAAGGAGAGCCTGACAAAATAATCATACAGACTTTATAGAAACAATATTTGCTTTGTTGTATACAAATGCATGTATGTTCTTCATAAGATCCTAGTGAATTTCATTTCTTTAGACTATGCTCCATGTGTTCTTTAAGCCTTTACTTTTCCAAAGTACCCCATTGCTGTACTCTATAAGTATTGTTACGTGTTACTGACACTCAGTGTTTCCTGTGACAGCATGTTAAAACCATTCTGCCATTGCACTCCTTAACTGCCTTTGTGACACAACAAATTTTCAAATCTGCTAGCTCTTATTTTTGGGCTGGTTTATGATTTCCATGGCATCATGCCCTTCCAGCATGTGTCAGCATTTGCCTACAGAAATGGAGAAATTAAGTTTTCTTTTAATTATACGAAATTATACTCACATGCAAGACAAAAAATATCTTACTTTATTAAGTGAATTTGAAAACAATTTTCATTTGCAGATTTTCAGTGAACTCAAAGATAATTTATTTGCACAAGCAGATCATATTGTGTTTTAACAGTACATTTATCTTTCTCAAGATAATGAATAAATTCTGCTTACCTTTAACATCACTGCCATTGAAATAAACATAGACTCTGTGTTTCCCAGCTTGCTGTGGTACAAGTGATACTCTGTACATGGATCCTCCAAGAGGCTCCATTCGGTGTGGAACAGAACGTCCACCCGATACAATGTCCAGGCATACATCCCCCAAACCACCAGTACCAGAAGCATCAACTGTGAAGTTAAAAGGCTGCCCTGGAGTGGCCCCCTCCAGACCCCTCAGCTGCAATGACAAAACAAGAAATTCATATTCAGTATAGTTGGTGAAGGGAATATAGGTGTGTAGCAATAAGAAGAAATACCACCAATCACTTCAGGTGCTCTTTAAATAAGCACATTTGTATTTCCTCTGAAATGTTGTCATTCTGTATGCTGAAAAGTACTACACATTAGTGTAAATTTATTTGAAATAACTATTGTTCCTCTTTTCTGAAATTTTGTCATTCTGTACACTGAAAAATACAACTCATTACTGCAGATTTTCAATGAATAAATCAATGCTTCTGGCCTCTGAAATGTTAATCATTCTATACACTAAAACATAAACATTTATGCGATTTATTTCTTGATATCATATTATTTTCAACATTCTTTTAGCCATATTCAGTGTCACAGAATTTCGCATTTTATCCCAAAGTCCCTTTTCAGTATCAGTTATTATCCCTTCTGTATGCCCTGTTCAGGGTCTATGAATCCGCAGTTTCATCCCAACGACCCTCATCACTACCACCAATTCTCCCATTTTATCCGAAAGACTCGCTTCACTTATCAGCCATTTTCCCATTTTATCTCATTAGCCCCTTCAGTTCCATCCATTTTCCAGTTTCATTCTTATGGTCATCATCAGGATCACTGAATTTTCTGTTACTGCAAAGATCCTATTTACTGCCATGCAGTCTCAAATTTTACTCCACAGACATCTTTGTGGCAATTTTGTTTGATGCTATAAGAGTAGGGGACATACAACTTTCCTCTGATCAGCCTCTGAAGGAATTATGCATAGTCTGTGACAAATGGGTTTCCATGTGAGCTTATTTTGTCCTGAGCTGAATAACACAAAAATATCTTCCGTTATAATCACTTTATGACAATCTATTCTTGCACTAACTTAATGTACTGACTCAAACCATGTTGCCCATTCCACTGTAGTATATATTGAGGTTGAGAAATGCATATCAGAATCTTGTGTAAAGGAACTATCCAGACTATTTGTAGATTTATTGGCTGGGACAGAGAGCAAGGCAGCATACATGGATATGTGGAAAAATGAAGATTTTCAAACTCAGAACAATCATGAAAGTGAAGTAAAACAAAAGGTAAATGAGAGTGGAATATGTGAAGTATGTTACTCCAGCAGGACCACAACAAATAATGATTTAAAATGTTGAATGTGTACTGCATTGGAATTTTAAAAGTAACAGGTATTTCTATCATAATCTTTTCCACAATGCTTTAGTTTGATTCTCACACTCACAACATAAAAGAATGTGATTCTTAAATCTGTTTAACAAGCTACCAGGGCTTCATAAGTGAAGAAGAGAGGCATATAATAGAGGTTCTCAAGAATTTCAGTCTTCAATGTGCTATACATCTGAAGTACAAGTATTAAGGAGTGCAGAAAGAAGAAGGAACATTGCCAGAGTTCATATAAAATACCTTTGACACTTTTTGCCTTGTGCTATTTTCTATTTTTGAAAAATACACTTGGATTTTCAGTTATACTTTCCAGTTATTTAAAGATATTTTTACATGAAAGGCTTGTCTGTTTGTTTCTTTGTTTGTGATCTACTTTACAGCACTATCAGTAGCCCAGACTACATATTGTCAGGTGTATAAGTGACTCTTGACAGGGTTTTGGATTGGATATTGGACACACAACTTACAACTATGCTTAATTATAATGCCATTGCTACCTTCCACACTATACAATTCACTAGAGCACATGCTAACTTTTCCAGCACACAGTGTCTTCACCAGTAGTTTCCTGGTAACAGCTTCTAACAGTGACTATTCCACTGCTTCTGTACTCAAGTCCTCTCTGAATGGCAGCTCCCATCCAAATCTTGCCTTCCTTACAACTGACTCACGGCCATTTCACAGCAGCCTTCTAGTATTCTTTTCATAGCCTGACCATTAGCTGACAACTGAGCTCCCAGGCTGGTGTCCTTGTTATATAACTCCTTTGCACAGAATGAGCAGAAAACACTACTTCTGGCAGTACCTCTATTGTTGCGTGCATATCCATTGCCATAGGAACATGTTAACTGAGCCTTTCCCTATCAGCAGTCATCAGTTTTTGCTTATGAAAAATCTGTTCCCTAGCAGTGATTGTTGTTTCATTGTCTGTTTTGAGGCTGCTACCCAGAAATGGCTTGACACGCTGTAATAATGTCAAATAGTAGGATAATTGATGAACTGAAAAGAATCCGGAGGGAAGCAGTCACGGACTAACTGAGGTACTACCCTAACATTTGTCTGACTGGACTAAGGAAAACCACAAAAACCTTATTTGGAGCAGTCAGTGTTTCTTCTGAGACTGAAACTGAATATCTCTCGCTTTACTAGTCTAGACCATTACTGGTTGAGCCATCTTACTTGGTCAAAGGTTAGGCGATAATTATTTGTTATTTTCTGACAAAGTAAATCTTTTAATGAAAACCTATTGTTTCCTAAAACCATAAATTATCTTGAAATACTTCATATATTCTTTAGAACATTAAACTTCATAATAAATTTCATGATATAGCTATGTTATGGTTATTTACAAGTGTAGAGAAAACTAATACTATTCATACATTAATTGAGAGAAACAATGGTTTATTTAGATCTACTCTGTCAACTAGATTTACCATATGTGCAATTTAAGTAGTGAAAATTGAACACTGAAGTTTACCTTGATAGCATTGGGATCAAATACAAAACATGTAAATGGGCCTCCCTGGATATGCTCCCCTCCATGTGTTACTGCAATTGACCACTCTCCTGCTTCATCAGGCTGGAATGTAGCTGTATACACACCATTATTCTCTTGTACAGGGCAAGACAGTCCGCGGCCAGTTGGTGATCTTGCTAGTACATCAATTTCTCTGCTGCTGGCACCATTTGAGTTGATCTGAAAATGAGAATATAATACCCTTAATACAAAATTGTGTTAAAAATCTATATTTGTAAATAAATAGAGAAAATAATAACAGTGTCATGACGAGGGTGAATGACCTGCCTATTGACCTATGAATTGCTGCCTAGCAGTAGGTATACACATCACAATATAAAAAAGGTAAGAAGGTAAAGTTTTCCCTCTGCTTAACTAATTAAACAATTCACCATGGCGGTGTATGAGGGAGTGGATGTATAAATCCACATTTTCTTCACCTTGGCGTTAGTTGGAGATCAGTGATCAGCTTCATGCCCCGGCTACTCTACCCCTAGGGAAAGAGCCTCTGGTACCAATTGGAAAGGTGGCTCAGTGGGCCCCAGAACCAGTCTGGACTGCATGGAGAAGAGAAAATTCTTGACCCTACTGTGACTCAAATTCTGAACCCTCCATTGTCCAGCCCAAAGCCAGTCACTCTAGTGACTGTGCTATCCTGCTCCTATAAAACAATATACTTTTTAAAAATTTGTGTTATTTGTTGAAGTTATATTTACTTATAAAATAATAACATGACAACTGTGCAAAAAATTTCTTTAGCCTTAGGTTTGATGTCAGTAACTAATGAACTACTGGAGCCAGACATGTGACATTTGGTATGGTGATTTATCACAAACATACCTAGACATTATTTATAGAGTATTGTTTTTAAGTTAACAATGACAAATAAGGCAACAGTGCAAACCTTTACAGTTATATCCAACAAATTAAACATGTACACAATTTTTACACAAATAAAATAATAAAAACAAAAATAAATTAAAACGATAATTTGTTATAAGTCTGTAGAATTAGAAATCTATGCAATAAGAAAGTAGGAATACTGAATTCTGCTTGGAACTCATTGTTAATTTTATAAGTTTAATAAAATTAGTATTAATACCAGTGGATTCCACTTACTAGAACTTCTACAATAGAACCAATGGCACAGGGATCCATTCCTGGAAATGAAATCTTTGTCAACTCTGGAGTCACTCGGATATTTATTGGACAACCTTTTGCAACCTCGCCTTCATTATACACTATAAGCTGAAAGAAAAAAAGCATGCTAGTATCATCTTGCTCTTAGCATATTACCACATCTTTTGTTCATGTCTTACTATGGATGAAACCAGAATGTACTCCTACTTCTTAAATATGGTGTGAGTGGCACCAGTGGAATAGATTACTACATGTATTATGCTACCACATAGTTTACTATACAGATTGAGCTAACCCAACTCTACAAAGTTCGTCATGTTTTGTACTAAAATGTGGTTCCCCTTTTAAAACGTGTGGTACAATCAATTCTTCCATAAACAGAAATATCAGATAGGATTTCACCAGCCTTCAGTTAGACACTGATATTGACTGAGCTGAATGTTATTCCTTCAATATAAAAGTATTTCATATACTGTAACATACAGTCATGTAGCCATTTTAATTCCTGAGATAATTTTAGGGTTTCTGTAAATTGTTTCAATATAGTTTGCCTCTGATTTTTAAGTGTATGCGTGCATGGTTGAGGAGACAAAGTAGTCAGACATCAAGTGGGATCAGTATCTTAACATTTCTTGTATATTTTAAATATCTCAAGACGACGTAATTCTGCTTAATACAGGTAATATTTATACACAAAAAATCTGTGGCTTGTAGTCTGCAAGCAAACTATACCCACTGAGCGACCACTGCTTGTGGGCGAAGTTAGTTCCAACTTTTGCAGATAGAGGGTTTCACACGGTCAGTGGTCATGGATCTCCATGGCTGTTAATCTCAGTTTTCTAGACCAGAGCAGCTATTTCCTTGAAATAGCTCCTCAATTATCCTCACAAGGCTGAGTGTACCTTGTGCTAGATCCACTGTTCTAGACCCACTACTTCTCAGAAAATCTTGTAGCCCCGGGAATCGGACCTGGGACCTCTGGATCTGTAGGCAGGAACTCTGACCACTAGACCACAGAGGCGATTTATAGCATACCATAATTATAACTGCTGACCAGTTTAAGCATTTATGTAAATTATTTTAATCTTTCAGATTTTTTTATTTATCCAAGACAATCATCATGTTGAAGAGTGTCTCTTCCTAAAGCTTCTAGGCAAAGTTGATATCTCCATGTTTTCTTTGGGCAACCAGAATCGCTTAATTGAAGTGGTTCAGATCCCAGTAACTGCTTTGATACAACTGTTATTATATATTCATATAAAAATAGCACCAAACATGTTAGCTCAAGTTGTGAAACTTCTGACCTCTGTTTGGGGAACCCCCAGTTTGAATGTTGGCCAGGATGGTGATTGTCATGTCAGAATTTTTGTGGTTTGCCACAGTCTCTCAAGATAAATGCCAAAATACTATTCTGAAATAGGCCAGAACCACTTTCTCCATAAGCCTTTCAAATTCGCTAAATGTAATTTCCCTCCCATTTCGTTTGATTCTAGAGATTCACTGCAATTGATAGAGTGTAATTAAATAACTTCCAATCTATTCATCAAAGAAGTCAGTCTAGAGGAGATGTCTGATCCAAATTTTGGCTGAGACACTGGCTATCCTGACTCAGGTTTTCTGTGGTTTTTCCCCAGTCCTCCAGGAAATTTCAGGGATAATACAGCAATTAGGTTATGACCACTTGCTTCCAAATCCTTTACAATTCATTGGTCACCATACCACTTGTTTCTGTGTAGTCTATGTACTGACAGTGTGGTCAAACATGCCCTGACCAATAAAACAGTACCTTACATACTGATGACTTACTAGTCTTTAAGAATTTGAAAACCAGAAATAGGACCCAGCATGAACTCAGACTCACATATTCATTGCACTGATTCATACAGGTGAGTGAGGAATTTATAATCAGTCAACAGTTATGTGAACTACAATATGACACCCATAATAATGCAGATAAGTGCTCTCCATTGCAGTCATCAAAAGGCTTAAGAATATAAAGGATTAATATTAATTTAAAGAATCAGACTGTGATGATGTGATCTGAAGACTACTGGTGCTGTAATATATTCATATTTTATGGTACCGTGGAGTTAGTCATATTGTCAGTATACCTTATGCATTCCAATTTCAGTGGGTATGAAGGACCCTCTTCCACCATTATTACTCAATTGGAGTCGACATTCCACTTTTCCAGATGGTCCTATGACTTCTGCTGTCACCTCTTTAGGGTCCACATCATTGGGCAGGTACTCCAATTTAAAAACAGCCTAAATGAAAGGGTAAATACTGGCATTTGTCACAGATTTTCTCTCATGATACCATTATAAAAGTTTATATAGATGATGTTATTGTTTCTTCATCAAATATACTTTGCAGATAAGCAGACCTTTTGTCATGTAATATTGTTAAGATTTAGAAACTTACTGGCTTGTTGACTTTTGCAGTGTGACAATCATATGACACAGTCAACCTATCACCAGGTTTCTGGCGTGGTTGGATCCATTGGAAGTTGGCAGCATATGCCATTACTCCTAAGTGCTCTACATTCTTGTCAGCCATGTCTTTAGCCTTCAGAATAGGCTCTACACCTAGCTTTTCACCCCCATGGATACCTGTTAACAAAACAACAGAAAAGTATATTATTATCATATAGGTTTACTAGTTAAGTAGATGATGGGTTAATATTAAGATGGATCTTAAGGAAACAGCGTGACAGTAGGGACTGGATTCAGTTGGCTCAGGACAGGGTCTAGTGATGAGCACTCATGAACGTGGTAATGAATCTTGAGGTTCAGTAATTTATTCACTAGATGTGTGATTATTATCTTTTCTAGAAGGTCTCTGCTCTGAGGAGTTGGGATTATTAGTTACATAATTGGATAAACTATATATATATGGCAAATGACATAGTGGCTGTATAAAAATGGAATAGCTTTGGTTGACATAAATATTAAGACTAATTTATGGGTAGTGATCCACTCAAGGCAACATTGGTCATTTAGAGCGCTTGAAGAACCCAAGCAGGTGCGTGTATTTCAATCTGAAGATATTTTGTTTGGATTTGGAAAAAATGCTGATTTATTGGAAAAATTCTCTCAGAATTATTATACTGATTTATACCGATTTAAATTGAACTCAGAATACCATGGTGAAAAAATGAATTTAAAATTAAGATTTATGAAATTATTGTTCACAAAAATCAAACTGTACACATCTCAATACTGAAGATGATAAGGTAAAGTTGTTCCTGTGCTTAATTAGTTATGCACTATGCCATGAAGAAATATGGGGGACTGGAAGTATAACTCCACCTTTCTTGACCTCAGCAACAGATGGAGGTGAGTGGTCAGCTTCACGCCCCAACTGCTTTATTCCCAGGGAAAAAGCCCCAGTGCCCATTGGATAGGAGGCTTGGTGGGTAAAACTGTACAAAGTTTATATTTATTGTGATTATAACTATTAAGTAATCCAGAAGTGAAAATACCTTTGTTCAGGTTCTTCTCCCAACTAGAGTAGTCAGTGGTTAGCTGGTCATAGCCTGGTATGGGTCCTCCCAAGGAGCGCACTAATTTACATAACACAGTTCCATCATTCCAGTCTCTCTGAAAGTAATTACATAAGTAAAAAAAATATTAGTGATTTATGTTGACTTATTTACAGCAAATCAGTTCAGTTCAGACTAAGTTCTTTAAAAAATTTTGTGCATTATTTATGCTGTCAATGTTAAAATTAGGAAGCCAGATGTGTCATATCCTTCTATATGTGTATATATAAAATTTTGTAGCCACAAGAGTTATCATTGTGGGTGTACAATTTTGGATTTTCTTAGCAAGGAACTGTTGAGCATTAACACATTGCATGAATGTAAATTATACAGTAGATTATGAATAAGTGAGTGGGCTTGTTTCAGTGCAGAGATAATACAGAGAAACAAAGTTTCATCTGAAAAGACTGTATAAGTTTCATATTCCTCATATATACAAGAAATGGCTTTGCAGCTGTAAGAAATGGAATACTGTCTTGATAGTGCTGTTGAGATCAACGAAGTCATGATCAAATTATAGAAAGCCTGAGCGAAATTTTTTTAGTATTTCTGATTGTACTTTTCATTACAAATGACAGGCTACTTACAGTGAAATTTTTTACGTGAGTGTCTGGTATTTGATTGTTGACCCAACGCAGAGTAGCATGGAATCCTGGGCTATCTTCTTTCATAAAGTAAGACAAGTATGTCATTCCAGACAGTTCATCCAGAAATGGAGAAGCCAAATATTCTGGTTCCAAGACCATTGGGATCTGAAATTCTCTTCTGGCAATTTCCATGGCTCTGTGACAATTGTCAACACTATAACATAAAAACATTATTCTGTAAATATTTTGCTTAATATAGAAATGAAGTACAGCATAAACATAACACTTATTTGCTGAAATGTTTTTTTAAGTGGAAGAAAAATTAATTCAAGAGAAGAATTTACCTCATACAGTTGTATATTTCCTGTTACAACACTGGTTATATACCAGCCAATATATGAAGCAAATTCTTAAGACTTGTAATGTACTACACAAAATCTAGAAGAATAATGAACTCACATAAGTCTTAAACAAAATCAGTCGACATTTTCATATTCTTATAATGGCAGCTCAAGAAAAACTTAAAACAGTTTTCTTCCAAGGATGGTAAGAATGAATGTTAATGAAGAATAGAATATTTTGAGCTAAAGGCATAAGGCATTTTGCGCTAATTAGAGAGAAAAGTTTTGGCTTCTCAGTTTCAGGTTAAGTGAGTGTGCTAGTGAAGAATCAATGGATGGAGAAAGGTGTGTTACTGTTTTGGTAAACCAAAAGATAGCATAATTTAGAATTATTACATGAACAAAACAAGTAATGTCACAGAAAATTAAATTATAAAAAATTAATAATATTTTAATTTACTTTTAATATACATTCATATGGGGGCACGCAGTAACATAGTTGGTTGAAACACTATGCTACAAACCTGAAGGTCACAGGTTCAAGTCCCAATGAGGTCACTGGATTTTTTCAATTGACCTAATTCTTCCAGCTGCACTATGGCCCTGGGGTCAACTCAGCCTCTAACAGAAATGAGTACCAGGAATATTCTTGGAATATTCTTAGGGGTAAAGGGCTGCTGACACGTAGGGCTGACAACCTTGCCGCCATCTATGAGCTGATTGTCTAGAAAATGTGGGAACCTCAACATCTCACAACCCTATGGGCCTCCACAGCCTGTTACAGGGATACCTTTACTTTAATTTTATACATTCATATGGATTTTTCAGTAAGTGAATAAGTAAGTGTGAAGGAAGCATCTTGTAGAGGAGGTTGTTAGCAACCATCATATATGTATGCAGCTTGTTACTATTAGTGGAATATTGGGATAAGTGCCTTAACATAAATGGACATTTCTTTAACTAAACCAAGTTTTGTTCACATTTTTCTTGTTGCTTAGAACCCTTATACATGAAAATCCTGATGAACTGCAAGTATTAGCTTCTAGAAGACACCAAATTCTTCATATTAGTCTAGAAAATATATACACAAAATGTTCTCACCTCCTTTCAGAATTAAAGCTGAGTAGTTTATTCCTTTATTCAATGTTGAATTGAACTATATATTCAAATAAACCTTAAACAAAAATAAAAACACAGGCCTCCTCCACAGAAAATATGGCCTAAACTATCAGTTAGGTAACAGGCTAGTAAATCTAAGGTTTTCCATTTTAGTCTTATGGTATTTAATTATTTCTCGGGGATGATACTTTTATATGAAGCAAGTTGGCTTAACTGGTAACATTACTAACTTGTATTTGAAAGGTGCCTGTTTTAATCTTGACCGGGTCATCTGTCATTCTGACTCAAGGTTTTCTGTGATCTCCAGATTCCCTTCAGGGATACAAGTACCATTGATTAGGCCATGATGGTTTCCCTCCACATCTTTTCAAATGCAGTATTCCCTTACCGTTCCACCATTCCTCACTGTATGGTCTGAGATACTGATATCACCATTAAAAAGCATTAAAAATAATATAACTTCATATAAAAAATGTTAGGAGCACATTCAGCTGTATTTATGTCCAAGAACATCTCCGAACTAGAGCACCTATTTCCTCACCTGTCCTTTGGATTGAGGTTCCTCCAATGAGGGAAGAGTCCAGGACGACAGTAGTCCAACAGAGCACTCAGGTATACTCCAGAGTTCCAGTCTGTTGTGAAATTGCTTACACGGCATTCTGGAAGTACAGCCTGTAAAAATTCAAATATTTCTAATTCTGTATTTTAGAGTATGGACAACATGTTCTATTAACACAAACTGTTAAACTTGTGGTGGTCTGTAAAAGAAACTAACCTTCATTTGAAGATTACTGTCTCCTGAGAAGTGATGTATAGACTGGTGGGAGTTTATCAGTATTCCAGAAGAACATGCTGTCTTCATTTCTGGAGTTGTATAGTAAGCCATGCAAAAAGATGGCAAGTAGCAGACCTGCTTCTTACTGTCTGCTTGCTTGGCTAACTCTTTTACCCTAAACATGGAGGCAGCATGTTACTCCAAATCATCTGTGAATTTTTACCAGACTGCATGGAGTCATATTCCAGAACATAGTACTCTTTATAGTCACCATTATGTGAACCTTAAATCTAACTCTCACTTAATAATATTACAATATTGATCTTGAATGCTTATTGATTGTAACACTGCAGCTGGTTTTCTCACTCAAGCTCACTTTACACACATGACAGTGCAACTGGACATTGTACACCACTGATCTTTCAAATAACCAGAAGACATCAGATCTGTTCAATATATCTTATCTCCCATGAAATATGTTGCTTCAGCCCTTAGAAAAGTATATGTGAGAGAATATATAAATTTATATCTTGTTACATTAATTATAATCTTAACAATGGTAGCCATGACCCAAATTTAGCATGTGGACACACCGCAAATTAAGAATGTTTCTTACTTGGCTATTTCTATGACACTGAAGATGGAGGCAACATGTTCCTCCGAAATGTCAGTTCACTTTCAGTGGACTACATGGTGTTATATCCAGGAAGATAGAACTCTTTATAAGAATGTGATTGGGCAAAGTAGCTGAAGCAATAATGCTTCAGGCTTGTACTCAGGAGGTGCCTCATTTGAATCTCAGATGAAATATGGGCTGTCCTGACTGAGGTTTCTCTTGGTTTCTGCCAGTGCCTCCAGGAACTTGCTAGGATAATATCTCAACTACACCACAACTACTTCCTTCCAGGTCTTTTCCAAGTCATTGTTCACCAGTCATCCCACCATTTCAGGTTACATAGTCATTGAAACTGACAGCCTTCATAAAGTACACAAATACAAAAGTACAAGAGTGTGAAATATTATAATAAAACATAACTTTCATGAAAGCTACAATGAAGTGATAATTTTATTCATTTCTAGCTTTTACTTTCACACCTCTATAAATTTTACAGGGCATTTTCAGCACAAAATAAGATCTCATTACAAAACACAAAGCTACTAGAGGAGCAGCAACATTTAGTAATGGAAGTATGCTTAGATTAGAAATGGGTTTATTGCATTTTTTAAGAAATATTGTAACATTTTATTTCTTTTAATTAATATTTATAAATTTTGAGAGGATTTCATAAATTTGTGGCTTACCTCTCTTACGGAAAACCGTCTATTATATAAAATATTTATCTGTATTGATAGAATTTCATAAAGGTTTATTAGAAGTTTGTGTACTTTATTATATAAAATATTTGCCATCCTAGTTTCTTAACTTATCCCCAGTATGACATTTTAGTTAAGTATATATTTTAATTATGAATATATTTATTTATTTATTTATTTGGGGCACGTGGTAGTGTAGTTGGTTGAAGCACTATACTACAAGCCGGAAGGTCGCGGGTTCAAGTCCCTCATGAGGTCATTGGATTTTTTTTAAATTGACCTAATCCTTCCAGCTGCACTATGGCCCTGGGGTCGACTCAGCCTCTAACAGAAATAAGTACCAGGAATTAATTAAATAATTTTCCTGAAGAATAAAGCGTGGTCGATGTGTAAGGCTGACAACCTTACCACCGTCTCTGAGCTGATTGTCTAGATAATGTGGGACCCTCAACGTCTCACAACCTAAAGGGCCTTCATGGCCTGTTACAGGGATAGCTCTACTTTTACTTCACTTACTTTTATATATTTATTTAGGTCATGAATTAAAGTTACAGTAATATTTAAATGGCCTGGTATACTACTGTACAATTTGGCAGGCTTTATACGAATCTTCCTATACCAAAATTCATCAGATATCTTGGGAACAAATAGACATGCTCTATTCACAAGGCATTCTTGTGCAGGAAGTATGTAGTGAATAACTGGATGACACAAACTAAATGCCAAAAATACTGTCATTCATATTCTGAATGCCTGATAATGGAATATACAACTCGTAAGAAAATTTTCCTCGCAGTGTCTTCACAATACACTGCATATCTCATTATGCAATAAATTGCAGATATTTTCATGGTTGAAAATTTGCTCATATTTATACATACCTTTAGCCATGCCAGCATAAGTTTCTTTGGTGGAAACTTTGACCGCCCAATTTGGTAACGAACAATTAATGACCATATTAAACCGAGGATCAACTTTAGGTTTCCATTAACAATATCAACGTTACCTGAAATGATGAAAAATAAATTGTTCAGATAAATTATATTATCAAGCTACATATTACATAATCAGCATATCTTTCTAATGTCTGCATTTACTGTCAATTACAACTTAATATTTTAAGTTTTACAATATCAGGCAATTACTGTGCTGTACTTGATTGAATATATGGATACCAACTATCAATAATACAACAGCATGAAAAATGTGAAGTTTGAGATTTATTTCTGCACTACTGCAAACATATGTAATTTCTCTGAGTGTTTGGTACCAAGGATGGTTTGGACAATATTACTTTTCTTCTCTCCTTCTGGTATTAATATATTGACTTAAATATTCTATAGAAAATTCTCTCCTATTTATTAGTTTTCTATGTTAAAAACCAACAGCAAATATCTAAAGAAATATGACAATTAAAATAACATATTTTCATAAATCAACCACATATTGTGACCAAATAAATGGTCATATCTGATTGATTACTATCTTCTGGGGTGTAACACCATGTAGTTTGGTAGACTGTTTCTTTTGAGACTGTAGTTGTAAGGTGACTAGTTCTGTGTTTAGAACTAATGTATGCATATGTGACATGTTCTATATCTGATGGCTTTGGTAGCCAGTAAGGATCTATAGAATTAAAACAAAGATACAGATACAGATATAGATACTGTAGTATGTTCATCTGAATCATCAGCAGTGATCTAGCAGACTACATAACATCACATCCCAGAAGTCAATACTTGTAATGTCCACAGTCACCTCAAACCTTGCAAGACTATTCAACCTTGGAAATCATAAAGGAAAGCTTCTGAATATAAGAAATAATGTGGTCTTAATCTAATGTGCTTGAATGACAGCATTAAACTCAATATGCAGAATGTGCATATCATAAAGAAATTTATTGGTACCTAGCAAATAGTTGTGAGTCTAAAAATTAAGATGGCTTCTTGATCCAGCATTGAGCTTTCCATATTGTATGAACTTGTCAAAACTTCTGTAACTATGGTAGAAAATTTAAGGTGTAAAACCAACAAAATTACTGTACACCAAACAGCATTTCTAAGGTGAACTATGTTTCCCTGGAAACTTCAGAGGCCAAGACAGTGTCTCCTGAAGACACTGCTCTTACAATCAGTCAGGAAAACAGAGATCCATAATTGGTGTTACTGTTACACCTTTTTACTTGTAGCCAATTAGATGTGTCCAAAAAGTATGTGAATAAGTCAAATTTCACAGCATTTTAAATGGTGTGAAAGTGCAGGTCAAAGTTCAGTCCTGAGATTCTGAGACTACAGTGCATACAAAATAATATTCCACCATACTAGGAATGAACGAACATGTGATCATTAACAAGCAATATTTATAACAGTTTCTAAATTGAACTGAAGACTTCAGTCATTTTGTTTCTGAACCATAGGCTATATTTGAATTGAGTTACGTTCCTGCGCAACGTCGGCTATTTGCATAACTACCACTGTGAGAGCCTCAAATCCTACACATAAGTTTATCGGAGTTTCGCAAGACAATAAGTAATATTTACGACTGCCCATATTATCACTTAAGATGGATTGCAGGATTGATGTGCAGACATTATAAAGCACCGGGTTTTAAAGAAGAGTCGCATTTTTATAAAACATTTGAGCATCCTGCCGGGAAACTATTGAATTTCACGATAACACAAGCCAATATATTTGCTCAACGAACTACACCAGGTGCATGTAGAGAAATGTAAACTGCACTGACTGCTTCTCTGATGTTACTCTTGCTGATAATAGTCCTTCGGTCTATTTAAAAATTCGCCATAAAACCTACAAAGACCGACAATACAAAGGATATTGCAGTTATTATTTTAAGCTATAATGCAAATAAAATGAAACAAAGACGTCTACTGTTATGTTCCTACGTACACCTTGCGGTTTAGCGATGCGATAATAAGCTGAGTTTCCGGACACATTCTATAAGACGTTCCCGGTTTCCTAACACTGATGATGACATCATACTGTTGACGTCATCACACTGAAGGTGGGCGAAGCTGGACCAACCTTTATCCTGTGTGTGATCGTAACGTGAATATGATATCGGCAGCTCTTATTTTGTGACACATAGACAGTTGACATCCTTCGAAACCAGTGTGAAGTTAGGATACACGTATTTTGGAACCACATTAATATATCAAAAGTGCAATAACAAAGAAATTAAGAGCATATCGAATTCAAGGAATGTCTGCCACCTTCAGTTTCATTTCGTATTCCAGTGTATCACTTAAGAACTTAAAGATTAAAATATACAGAATTATGAGTTTGCCTACTGTTTTGCATGGGTATAGAACTTGGCATATCTCACTAAAGAAAACATATGGATTTAGCGTCTTTGAAAACAGGGTGATGAGGAAAATATTTAAAAGTAAAAGGATAGAATTGACAGGACACCAGAGAAAATTTCCTATTAACGTCTTTATAATTTACGCTCTTCACCAGATATTACAATTAGCAAACCAAGAAGGATATAATGGTAGTGCTTGTAACACGCATAGGGGGGATGGGAAATGAATAGAGAGTTTTGATAGGAAGCACTGAAGGAAGAAGACTCCTTGGAAGACGTAGAAATAGGTGGCAGGATAATACTAAAATTGGGATAACTTCCGGTACGTATTTGAAAGGAGGCCAGATGGATTTCAGAGACGGTCGGAACATTCTGGCGAAGGGCAACATCCATGCCTCCTACAAGAATCGTGTAACACTCATTATACTATAATTCGAGAGCTATTTCCTGTACAGAACTCAGTTGTAATGAACCTAGTATCGAACTATCTTAGGTCAAAAAAAAATTCATTCATTTTCTCTAGAAGCTTTCTTAAGTGATATCAAGAGTGTCAAGATCTATGCCTGTGGAGTGCATATACTCCTATTATCCATACGATTCTCATGTGATTTTTCATTCGAAGCGCAGGATTGCTGAGGGGATAATCAAAAGGGGAAGCACAATAGACCACTGTAGGTCGCGGCGCAAGGGCCGAGGAGGCCTACCCCTCATACATTCATTCATTCATTTCCTAACGATTCGTCCTGATGTTCATTTACTACATACACAAATCTGGTTTAAAGTAACGAACACCTTAGATAAAACATTATACTGAAGCGTAAAACATATTTATTGTATTTTCTTAAGTACAACTCATATCGAAAAGAGTATTAAATAAAATTATATATATTAATGAGCTGTTATTTTATGTACTGAATTTTTGCAACAGGTATTAGTGCAGGTCTTCAGTGTAAAATTTAACTGAATAGTTCAGAAATTTCAGTGTCTTCATAAACCAATTTGTGACAGACAGTATATCTTACCATAATCTCCTGATAGTATAATTTGCACCCAAGATTATTGCTGACGACAGACATGAATAAATATTAGCAGGAAACATATTAGTCTCCGAACCATTTATGGCCAATTGTAGTTACAGAGGAACTGAAGGCAATAGTCTGTTAAACGTTGCGTTCCCTGCGAAAGGCAAATTCTAACAGAAGAAAAAACACTCATTGAGTTCTAGAAGTGATTATAAATTGCAGCAACACTTTAAGTGAAAATTAAAACGATCAAATGATAGTTCACACGTACATGTATTTTTCTTCCTTGCTTTCCCCCCCCCTCTCTCTGTTTATCTCCCTTCCTTTCTTTTTCATATCTCTCGTTCTTTTTTCCTTCCTTCCTTCCTTGTTTTCTTCGCTTCTTTCTTTCTTTATTTAATTCTGTCTTTCTTTCTTTCTCTCTTTCTCGTTCTCTCTTTCATTCTGCTTCTTTTGCCTGTTAGTCCGGCTGTTTGTTACGGGAGGTGTGACATATATACGAGGGGGTACCCAAAAGAAACCGAACTTATTTTTTTTAACTTATTTATTCAAATTTTAAGCACAAACCTTCAATCCCTTTCAAAGTACTCTCCACTTACACTAATACACTTGTCTAGTCTTTTATTCCATTTTTCAAAACATTGTCTAAATTCATCTTTTGAGATGCTTGACAGCGCCTCCGTCGTTTTTTTCCTTCACCTCAGCAACATCAGCAAAACGCTGAAAAAAAGTTTTGATCATTTCGGGACTCTTCTTTCAAAGCACAGCATGCTTCCACGCGACCTTGTTTTTGTTCAGCAGTCAGCAGTCGTGGCACGAATTTCGCAGCCACCCTTTTCATTCCCAAATCTTCTGTCAAAATTCGCTGAACTGAGCTCCAAGTCACTCCCGACAGCTCCACAATTTCTTCAATGGTCCGTCGTCGATCTTCCTTGATGATTTCACGAATTTTTTCAACATTTTCATGTGTTCGGGCCATTGCAAAAACGACAATCACACAAAACAGTTGTCACTATAAACTCTGCCGAAACTAGTCCTTACCTTCTGAAGCAACGGTAGTCGGCTTATCGACTCAGGAATGTTAGCTCTATGCGCTCATAGCGGCAAAACGCGGTACTACAAAAGCTCTGCCCACAAAAAAATCAGTTCGGTTTCTTTTGGGTACCCCATCTTATATTTTATGTTTTATGTAATAGAATTCATTTAATCACATAGGTCACAACGATCTCCTCGCATAAACTTCATATGTATGTGCAAGAAACAGACCCTACATTATGTGACGAAGACAACCATAAGGAAATGAATAATTAAAGCTAATAATTTTATTTGTTATTATTTTAAGACAACTGACTTATTCACTAAACTTATTCGTCTGCTTATTTAAGCATAGCGCCATGAATACCTATGGGAGTGGAGGAATATATCCACTTAATCATAACCTCGACACATGATGGAAGTTTTTGGTGAGCTTTATGCTCTTGGAACCGGTACGCACTGGTTATGAGTTTGGGTGAACCTCAGATTCGGTCTGGATTCGATAGCGAAAAGAAAAATTCCTCCCTCCGCCTGAAATCGAACTACGGTCGTCCAGCTCGTAGACAGCCATATATTTGGCTGAGCTGTCCCTGTTCATGAGGAAACTACCAATATGAAAATACGTTAA